ATAGCATGTGAGATGTGTGAAACTCAAAAATATCTGAGAGTGTAAACTCTTTATTTTACACTTAAACATGAGAAAAGAAAAATGAAAGTCAAACCGAATTATGAACTTCTTCAATATCCTTGCTGGTGAAAGACAATAAAATGATAGATGTGTATTGATATACACATAATAGCTACTGAGAAAATGTTAAATTATCAAAATGTTAAAAATCTATGCATGCATGAACATGAGGAATATAACTAACCTTAAGTGTAACTTACTTAGAGTTTTCATTATTGTTAATCACAGGGATGTTTTAAAATATTCTTATTCTTTTGGTGATTTGCTGACATTTTCCAAGAGCTTGCTTTTACCCATGAGAAGATTAAGACTACCTTTATTGTAAAACAATGAGAAGTCATTGTTATATGCATAAATATGCAAACAATTTGATAAAGTGATTTGAGTAACCATTACTTTCTAAAGCAAGACAGCATTCAAAATGAACATATTTTGTAAAGGTTATAGAAAAGATGGAAAACTATTTGCCATTTTAAGCCTGGTTGCTTAAATTTCACAATCACTATTCACATGAACAGAAATTATAAATAAGATAAATTGAGTGGTTTTTAGAGACACTTAATTTATGCACTACACCTCCAGAGGAAAATATTTCAACTTCATTCTTCACCAGAGAGGAAATTGTATGAATGAAAAACACGTATATTTCAATGAAATACATACGACTTAAAAGGAACATTTGCAGACCTGACATCCAAGGCTTGTCCACTTAAAAGAAACAATAAAACAGTAAGTTAACCATTTACCTAAGAGTGGATTCCTGAATTTGGCACTTCAATTAACTCTAAACATGAGAGAAAATGGTCAAAACCAATATGGCTGGATATTAGGGTATAAATAACTTTACGACAGTTTTATATGAGAAATGTTTTTGTTTACTTCATGGAGGCCTAACACAAGGCATTAGGTGTGTCTGAATGGAGAGTGAGTGGCATGATCACTTTTTAACAATATTTTTATTTATATGTATGTGAATATGAATTCCACAATGGGTGGTCTGCAGAGTTCAGAGGAGGGTGGCAGTTTCTCTGAAGAGTGGGTTATAAGCAGTTATGAGCGGCTACATAGGGATGCAAAACTTGAGCTAGTCCTCTTCTAAGACCAGAAAACTTTCTTAAACAGTAACCCTTTCTTGCCCCCAAATAATGATAAGAAATTGATGTCTCCTTTTAATCTGCGTATATCACAGTGCAGAATGTTGAAAATGAATTTAAGTTTAGTTCTAAAATCTCATGCAATATGTGCCTCTAAAACTTGGTGTCCTAGTTTATCTTAAAATACAAAACCTTCCCTAGACAAATTAAAAAAAAGAATAGCACATTTTAATTATTCAACAAACTTTATGTTAAAGGCCAACTCCCCAGCACTAAAAAAAGAAAAGTTAGTTTAAAATATTTCTATTTTTTATTTCAGAAGCATTTTATTTTTAAATAACAATATTTGAAAACATTTTGATTTGGTAAACTGAACTTTAAGAGTTTATGAACTTTAAGAAAATTTTCTGTTGAATTACATCTCCAAAATAAATAAAAATGTGGATGTTGGCTTCAAAAAAAAAAGAAATTGATGTCATGGCAATAAAATGAAACACATGATTCTGGATTGGCTCATGAAGGAGAAATAGAAAATAGGGATAAATACTATTTATCAGGAAATAGAGAGGCTGCTTTAAGATTGAATTTTATCAATGCTTATTTCCTGGTGTGGATGCATTTTTATCACTGTGGTCATGAAAGGAAAGGTCATTGCAATTTGGGAAAAAACAGTTGCATAGGTAAAATGACATCCTATCTGCCCTTTAAAGTTTAAAAAAATCAGCATCTTATCCACACACAGTGGTGGGAGAGAATTAAAACATATTTGAGAAAAGAGTATTTGCAGACTTTAGATCAAGAATACACAGGCATTCTTTGTAAGTTGTCAAGTTCTTTGAAACATTCTGAAACCATGTCAAGTGAAAATAGGATTTAAAAGAAATAGGTCAATGGCATGAAATTGGGTAGTAACTGGCTCGCTGAGATCATGAGACCATTAGGATGCAAATATACAGGCACTTGAGGAAACAAAGCAAAGTTTTACATGTCTGATTTCCAAGTCAGTAACTTCACTATGGGCATCTATCTCTCATAAGCAGTCACCTCCACACACAAATAACTTTTTTATACTATGTTGTATTAGAAGGGAGTTGGGAGAAAGAGAAGGGGAGAAGAGAAGGAGAAAGGAGGAGGTGAGAGGGCAAGAAGATCAAGTCAAGGGGAGAATAGAGGAGAGCAAGAAAAGAGATACCATAATAGAGGGAGCCATTATAGGTTTAAAGAGAATTCTGGTACTAGGAAAGATGTCCAGACATCTGCAAGGTTGACCCCAACTAACAATCTAAGTTGAGAGGCTACTTTAAATGCTCTTCTCCGATAATGATATTGATGACTACCTCATATGCCATCCTAGAGCCTTCAACCAGTAGCTGATGGAATCAGAAGCAGACACCCACAGCAAAACACTGAACTGAACTCTGGAATCCAGTTGCAGACAAGGAGGAGTGATGAGCAAAGGGGTCAAGACTAGGCTGGAGAAACCCACAGAAACAGCTGACCTGCACAAGGGGGAGTTCATGGACCCCAGACTGATTGCTGGGAAACCAGAATAGGACTGTTCCAGACCCCCTGAATGAGGATGTCAGTTTGGAGGTCTGGTTAATCTATGGGGCCTCTGGTGGTGACTCAGTATTTATCCCTAGAACACGAATGGACTTTGGGAGCCTACTCCACATAGAGGGATGCTCTCTCAGCCTAGACAGACAGGGGAGGGTCTAGGCCCTGCTCCAAGTGATTTGACAAATTTTGAAGATCCCCCATGGAAGGCTTCACCCTCCCTGGGGAGCAAAAAGGGCATGGGATAGGGGGTCAGTGGGGGACAGGGAAGGAGGGGAGGGAGAGGGAACTGGGATTGACATGTAAAACAAGCTTGTTTCTAATTTAAATAAAAAATACTTTAAAAATGTTAACCACAAGAAAATAAGAAAGAAAGAGAGAAAGGAAGAAAAGGAACAACTTCATTTCCATGTTGAAAAAAATTATCCTAATAATAAGAGGAGGCAGAATTGAGATATGTGACTGTAAATGTGCCTTTACCTGGAAAGAATTCTATACATATAATGTGAAAATTCCAAATAATGTGAGGTTAAATATCATTCATTTTGTATACTACTATGTTAAATTACTTTTTATATTCAAGTTAGACATAGGTTGGACACACCTAACATAAGGTCTGGGTTGGGATCCCACCATATTGACCCCTGGGGATAGCAAATAGAGAAAAAAAGCAAGATAGCAATCCCATGTGCCTAGCCTAAACAAATGTGTGTGGTTTCTAAAAATCAATGTATTTATCTCAAAAATAAATAGTGGAGAGAGACTGTAGATTGAAGACATGGTCTGATATTAGGAGGCTATTACATGAAGAAAAGCATTTCCCACTACTTTCATCATTACATTCCTATATAATGACACTGACTTCACTAATATGAAACAAACTTATAAAAATAAATGTAAGAAAATATCTTTAAAGATTTTTAAAAAAAAACTGGTACATGTTTAAGATATTTGTTTCCAATTGCCATACCATTAAGCTAATATTTCTCTAGGTCTTGGTAGAATTCTGAAGTTCATTGGCAGTTTTACTTACGACATTTTAAAATTATTCAGATGGTCATGCTTTTATAACTAGATTGTACTAAAAGACTACGGAGGATTAGTCTATATACCATTAAAAGAAGTTCATAAGTATCGAGGATATTTTAAGTTAAAAATCTTCAGTGAATCAAATCGCAGTGGATTGCATATGGTAATTTCACAAATAATACTTTTAATGCATTATATTATGACTTGGCCATACAAACCAACAAGAACAAAAGTACTCCAAATTAAGTACTTTCATGGTCTTATGTTTATATTACATTAGTTACTAGTAGCTACAATTTTAGCTGAGACAGAAATAACAGTTACACTGAGACACTTTTAGAGAACCGGGTGTAAGAACAAGATAGTCAGTCAGCTCCCAATGCCTAGATATTTAGCAAGAAGAAAAAGTGAACTCTAAAATTTAAATAAAACTATTTACTAAATAATTGTTTTGTAACATATCCAAATACATTCAAATAAATTAAAAAAAACAAGTTCCCAAAACAGTTGACTATTACTTGAAATATAGATGCATCTTAATAAAACAAATAAGCTAAGTCCTTCAACAATTAAGATTTTTTCCAGTTCAAGTTAATGTTAGCAGTTCTTCTTGAAGTCTGACAGTGATGTGGAACCACATGTCACCACTCCGTTCAGATTGAAAATATGTGTAACTCTTCTTAAGGCTTATGCTTAATGCTCTCCATGTCAACAAATGAAAGGCATGAAAATATATTTAGATCTTAATGTGGATTAAATAATTTATTTTATCCAAAATATTTAATCAATACATCTATCATTTATTTGCTTGTACTTTGTCAGATGCCAGAATTCAGTATGCATTTATACTAAGCCATATTTTTTTCAAAACAAAAATGCTTGTTGTTCTATTACCTGGCACTTTGACAACACAAGCCCACTTAAAAATAAGCTGTTTTAATAAATGTATAATTTTGATTTTATTTCTCAATAAACCTGCATGACTATTACTGATCTACCTCTCTTTAAAACATTAAACAATATGTCATACAATTTTGCTTAATCTGTGATAATACTATTGAAAATTATTTAAGAATAAGATGGCTTTCTTTGAAAGTTACGAGGAAGGGAATGTAAGATACTACATATATTAGAATGGTCACCATAACAGGAGTCAGCGTGCACATCATGTTTTCATCAGGGTAATCTGAAGTACTGCAGTTACAGAGTTACAGTAGCTGAAGAGCACATTATGTAGATTAGATTATGTAGTATGTTTATTTTTCATTGATTCCTAAAGCACTATGCTCAATATACATATATCTAACTATCTACCTCATTTGGAGCAGAGACGTTACAGGATCATGCTGCCATTCAAAAGTAAGGTGCTGTATTTTATTATAATTAAGTGGCATCCAAAATGCAATATATTGCCATGAAAATGCAAAATTTTCACAGATCAGCAATTATGAATTGCATTGGTCACAATGAAATGGTATTGTATTTCATACAAATGGAAATGGTTCATCATAAATATATAGACCAATATATAACATTGAAGAACAAGAAACAAAAAGGAAATAGTGCTCTTGCATAAAGGTCAATTCGCTTGGCTGCTGTTGGAATAACCGGCTTGGCAGGAGGAGGCTTCTTGTTGTTCTTAGCCTGTGATTTCCCAAGTCCATTGTTGACTTCAATGGGTTTTCCATAACAGTCATAATTGGATAATTCAAAATCTCTTGGTAAGCTTCCAACAATGCTGAAGTCATTGGATCTCAGATCAGACTTGGAAGTACAAACTTTTTTGCATCTGGTCTCACCGACCTAAGCATAAAAATGAAAGATGATGTAATAAAGTTTTCCATTTTTAATTTTTTTTTTATTTCACTTTACATTACAACCACAGTTCTGTCAATCCACAGCTCCAGAGAAGCTAGGGAACAAGGAGGACCCTAAGAGGGACACATGGATCACCTGGGAAGGGAAATTAGATGAGATCTGAGGGACAAATTGGAGGTGGGGTGGTGGCAAGGGGGATGGGAGGACAGATGAGAACAGGAAGGAACAAAATGGCCTGTGCTGGGAGTAATACAGTGGGAGAGCGATGAAAGAGATATCTTAATAGAGAGAGACATTATGGGCTTAGGGCGAAACCTGGTGATAGTGTAACTCCCAAGAATCCACAAGGAGGACCCCAGCTAAAACTCCTAGCAATAGTAGAGAGGATGCCCAAATTGGCCTGCCCTGTAATCAGATTGATAAATACCCCAACTATCATCATACAGCCTTCATCCGGTAATAATTTTTTTACAGTTATAAGTACCACATCTCTTCAAAGAGATATTTTTAAATTGAGTTTACAAATTGACAAGGAATAAAAGTCAACTGATTAACCTTCCAGATCAATTAAACCTTTCAGAAATTATTAAACAATTCAGAAAGCTCTGATAGTTTACCCAAATAACAAGGCTCATACTACTGAATGAACTTTTTAAATATTTTATACTTACAAATAAAGCATGAGTCCACATTAATTTAGGTTAGTATTAGGGTTGTACGACTTTTCTCCATTTAAATACTAAAAACTAAAAAATCTATCTTTGGTCCCATATGGGGTGTGTACACAGAAAATATGACTCAAAGTGTTAATTCAGAACCTCCATCCTTGCTTTCCTGTTTCTGAACAGAACGGCTGATTAGTTAAAGGGGAGGAGGCTTTTGTCCTGCAGTAAGACTGTCAGCCTCTGAATATAGCCACAAAAATTCAGATGACTTTTAATATCTAATCTCATCAGTAAGGAGAGCAGAACTTCAATATAATTAACATAAAAAGCATTCCCAGGAGTTGCTGCTTTCCCACACTGAATTCATTGGCAACTCTCTGTGACATTTTGCATGGCTCCCATGTTCAAGACAAGTGCATGTGTGCCACATATGCTCTAGAAAAGGCATTCAGGCTGACACAACTGAAGAAGGAATATTACGTTCCCTCCTATGAAGACTCCTCAAATTTCCTTCAACAAATTGTCTCATACACTAGTTGGAGGGTGACTTTTTATTCCATTAATCAGATCTTTTACACAAACATTCTTTGTTGTTTGAACTAATTATTAAATGAAATGCATATATCCCAAGACAACAGATTTTATAATAAAATGTAATCTGCAGTAGTTACAATTTCATAAGTAAGGAAATGAACCAGATAAGTAGAATAGTAATCCTACTCAACACATTCCTAATTTGGCTGTTTAAATCCAAAATTCATCACTTTTCTATTGTATCTTTCCACATGTCTCATTTACTCTCATTGAATACACTGTGACTTCTGCAAAGTGATAAAAATAGAAATGAGGGAGTATAAAGATAAAACTGCCAGGAACAACAACAGAAACTGTTGATAAAACTATAATAGTTTCAAATTCAAACTCTAAGGTTTTGTTTGTGCTTCATTTAAAGCAAATAATTTGTATAAACTTCTAGCATCTAAGATAAGACATTCTCTATGGATGATAAAAAAAATATTTGGAGAAAACAGTTTGGACAAATTTTATTGAATACAAATCAATGCAATTTTAAAAGCATGCCTTTCCCATAAAGAAATGGTGCCCTTGATCGGTCATCAGCTTCTGCTCATTAAATTATTGAAAACTGTGAGCATGGGGTCTGTTTTGTCCTTTATTCATAAAATCATTGTGTATGACAAGTGCTAAGTGTTAAGAAGAGGATGGTAGTAAGAACAGAGTGTGTACAGATGTTTTATGGATGAAAAAGAAAAAACACAAATGGACAGATACAATAGCTACTAAAATATTGAAAACTTACTATGACAGCACTATTTTCTTGTTCTTATGAGGAGGAGCCTAAAGCCAGATATGTAGATAAAAACATAATTTTGCATAAGGGTCACAAATTTCCTGACAACTCTCATACTGAAATCTGTACTATTCTTTTTTGTGATTTTGGTTATACTTTTCCTTAACAGGCACACTATTATTTTTTTAATTAACCTATAGGTTTTCATAATTCAAATTTTATTATGTTTCTATTGTTACTTAGACTAAAAATTAGTGACATATCATCTGACTGAAATTACTTGGAAATTTGTTGTGTTTTGAAAAGAAAACTACGTTGAAACAAGTGGATTGTGAATCTAAAGTCATAATTACATGTGTATTTTTTCATAGAAGTATGGATTTCAAATGTAAGAGCTAATATTTTTCTGTTTTCATTTTATTTCATGTGTTAATATGTACCAAGTTTGTGAACGTACCAAGTTATAGATTATTGTAAACCTCGTGGGACTATTTATAGTAACTTTAGACCACATGTAACTGACACAGGGATGACAATAGACTGGCAGAATGCTCAACATAGATGGATGACAATGGCAGGAGGATTTTGTTTTTTGTTTTTTCTTTAAATCTTCCTATCTTTTATTTTATTTTTTATTATTTTTATTTAAATTTTATTACATGTCAATCCCAGTTCTCTCACCCTCCTCTCCTCCCCTGCTCCCCACCAACCCCCTATCCCATCACCTTACTGCTCCCTAGGGAGGGTGATGAGGCCTTCTATGAGGGATCTTCAAAGTCTGTCATAGCATTTGGAGCAGGGCCTAGACCCTCCCCTGTGTGTCTAGGCTGACAGAATTTCTGTCTATGTGGAATGGGTTCCCAAAGTCCATTCATGTACTAGGGATAAATACTGGTCAACTACCAGAGGGCCCATAGATTAACCAGAACTCTAAACTGACATCCTCATTCAAGGGGTCTAGAACAGTCCTATGCTGGTTTCCCAGCTATCAGTCTGGGGTCCATTAGCAACCCCTTGTTCAGGTCAGCTGTTTCTGTTTCTCCAGCCTGGTCTTGACCCCTTTGCTCATCATTCCTCCCTCTCTGCAGCTGGGTTCCAGGGTTCAGCTCAGTGTTTAGCTGTGGGTGTCTGCTTCATGGCAGGAGGTTTAACATTGACAGAAAGCTAACAACTGAATGGCAGGTGACTGTGGTTTCAAAATGCTATGTGACTATCTTCCCACAGCGCAGGAGTCCCAGTGCTCCTATCTGCATTTCTGGAACTGATAAATAAATACAAGCTGCAGGGGCAAAGGAGCTGTTAGTCTTCCTGATGGAAATCTCAATGTGTGGAAGCATATTCTACAGTCCCCTAACTCTGCTCAGTGCCTGGACCTTCTGGGTCTTTGATGGCAACAAAGACTAAGGTAAAATGCTAGGAAAAGGAACTGCAATTTCTCTGAAAAAAAGAAAGATTTTCTTGGTGTATAACAAAAGTAAGCAAAGTGTTAAAATAGGTATGGAGTCCTAAGCCTATAAACACAACTCTCAGCAGACTAAAGTCAGATACACATTGGGAAACATGGACAAATGGGGTGGCAAATAAAAAGTGAAGAAGGAAAAGGAAAGTGAAACAGTAGGGCATTGATGTTCATCTTTAATCATTTGAGTCAGCTGAGGTGCAGGAAAAGCAAAGACTCTAATGGCTTGAAAAAAAACAAGGGCTTCTGCTTCCATGGAAGAGAATAGACTTCGTCTTCTTTTCCTCCCACTCAGTTCCATGGAAACCCTGGATTTTATATTCACAAGACTTTAAGAGAATCAGTATCAGGAGACACAGAAAGGAATAATGTCTTAAATTTGATTCCACAGATGACCAGAGCTAAAGGGAGCTCATGGACTATGGACTGACAGCTGGAGAACCTGCAGGGAACCGAAGTAGACCCTCTGAATGTGGGTGACAGTTATGTGACTTGATCTGTTGGGGCATTGGTGAAATAATAAAACCTACACGACAATTCTGCCATCTAAAAGAAACTTGCTTCATGTATGCTATAGACATAATTGATAGAGAAGAAGAGAGAGTTACACCAAAGGATGACTTAAGTCATGATATTGCATTAATGAAACACTTCTCCTTCAGGAGCAGTAGCACAGTATAAAAAAGTCACATGGCATAAAGAAGCTTATCTCAATGTGGAAGCAACATATAGGCAGAAGCTTTAAGCTTTGAAAATTAGTGCACAGGCTTAAAAATACAAAAAAAAAAAAAGGCAAACCAAAAAATCACATATTCAATACAGGATGAATTAGTTTGCTTCTCTGTCCAAAAATTCCACGTGTAGCATGTTTTCTAGAATTTGAGGTAGAAGGGCTGCGGAGGTCAACACACAGAGTACCATGGGAACAGAACGTGAGCAGAGTAGGCACAGTGTTCACAGCTGTGAGATGGCAAGATCTATTCATGTCCTGTAGAGTCTACAGCCTTTTGCTCCACATAAATGACCTCCTGACTGACTTCTCTTCCAAAGAGTGAGCATCAAGCAGGACTCTGTGGATACATGTGCAGCTAATTTGTCAAGCAGCCAGTTGCTCTGACACTGAGTCTTCAGCCCAGGGTATGTGACAAAGCAGGGCTAAGGGGAGAAGCCTTATTATCCATGATGGCTAGGCTAGACAGACCTTTTGAAGCTTCAGGGCCAGCCATCTAGCCTGAAAGACAGTTGCTGACCAACTATAGGAAACAGCCTAACTCAGTAAGAAAATGAGAGTGACTGACCAACAGCATTTCTCTTCAAGTCTCAGAGATGGATAAAGGCTCATGCAGCCCCATAAGTCCATTGGCTTCTTACTAAAGCTTAATAGATGAGAATGAATAGGGAAGCACACATTCTGGAAACATCTCCACATGTGGTGATGAGTATCAAAATGAAGCTGTGATTTTAAAATCATTGGTGAGTTTTCAAATTTTTAAGATATTAGATTTTCCTAGGTCGCCTTTGGCATGTTTTATGTGTTTTCCCAAAAATACTTCCAAAAATGTATGTTGAACTCAATCCCTTTTCATTTATAGAAAATAAATGGCAGTATCACCATTTCTTTCACACAGTGTCTCATTCCTGGCACACAAGAGGATAGGCGACCCACTTCCATGGTCTACTCCAGTCTTACCTGCAGAGTGCTGATATGGACCGGAGTCCCCATGCCATTCACGGTGTTCTTCTTTGCTACATTTCCACCTTTCCCATCTGCTTGCTCAGCCTTGGCAATTCTGGCCTTTTCAGCTTCAACCCTTTTGGGATTGTTCAACATCACCTGGACAACAGCATACTCCACCAGGGAAGCAAACCCAAAGAGCAGACAGGCAATGAGCCACACATCCAGTGCCTTCACATAAGATACTTTGGGAAGCTCTGCAGCAAGGGTGGTGCACTCTGAGGCCAAACTGAGCACTGAGAAGATGCCTAGCAAGGGAAGGAGAAGCAGATGCATTTACACCTGTGAAATGCTTTACAACCACTGGTCATTCACTAAAATTACTCTCTGATGACTGTCAACAGACAGCAAACAACTCTTAGGTGTCTTCCACAAGCAATCCTTAGGTGACTTTAAAGATCAAAGACTAGAAGGAATATATGGTAGGTACTATGTGAAGTAGTAATTGTGACTGGAAAATGTTTGTAAGTAAGTTTCATTTTAAAAATAAGTAAATTTAAACCAATGTGAACTTGATTTGAGGATTAATGATGTCAAGAAACATTAAATAGTGTCTCTGAGGGAATGACAGATCTCTGTGATTAGACTAGTTGTTCGATTTCTCAGTTTTTTTTTTTTTTAAAAAAGAGATACTTTACTTGTGGGAGGAGTTTTCATCCATGAACAAGACTAGAGCACATAAAATTTGATAAGCTTTTTATTTGTTGGTTGGTTGCTTTTGCTGCTGTTGTTTTGTTAACAGAACATTCCTGTTCATTTCAGAAAGAAAATCTCAGAAAAGGAATACTAAAGAAATGCTACAGGCAATACAAAATTTAGATGGAGAACCAGCATTATATATAAACACATATGTAATCAATATAAGGTAGTTAAGTTTATGTAATATATGACAATTTAATTAATCATAGAACACAAAGGATGAATTGTTGCAATTACAGGTGTCTTCCTCATCTCTTGTCACGCTTTCTCTTCTTCCTTCCCCTCTTCCTACCTCTCTTTCTATCATCAGGACGGACATGGTAGAATATGATTTGCTGGCATAGACAGAGTACACTCTATGACTAAAGAAACCACCAGTGATGTCCACAGAGACATGCTATCAGCCAAGACACTGAGTCTCAGCCTCTTGGAACACACTGTGTCCCCCTATTGGTTGTATTTGGGTTTACTTTTTTATTTTTATTTTCTGATTTTGTTTTTTGTTTGTTTGTTTGTTTTATTTTGTTTCTTGTTTTTTTTTTGCTTAGATCCTCACCACAATTTGAAATAATGACTTGATTGGTATTTAACTTACTATTTCAGACAAAACATTTGTCAGTTGTACATTTTGAAGCCAGCATACGTCCCAAGGTTTTTAACCTTTACATAAAATGTTAACATAAAAGTCTAGAATGCTATCAAGTATTGGCCTAAACGATTGTCAGTTGTCCCCTTCAGCAATCTCCTAACTTCTCTCCTTGTTTCTACCTTTTCCTCATCAGTCAGTCTACAATAAATCAGGCAATCGTTAAAGTTAAAACTAATCAATATTGGAGTCTGATCATCAGAAGGCTTCAGGGAGCTTCCTTTTTGACTTGTGTAAGACTCTTAAAAACACTGTGCACTAAGAGGTATCCAGACCTCACTGTTACTAATAATCAAGACTCAAGTCCATGTTTTCCTCTCTCCTAGATAACAGTAGGAATTGCTTTCATTTCTTAACTTTATTTCTTTAGGCATAATTATCTCTTCTTAATGCTTTTTTTCTGACAAGCATGTTGTTCTCTTTTATATCATTGTCCTATGTATTAGAAGTAATACTTATTTGGTGACTGCTTCTTTGCAAATATAAATATATTAAAAATATAAATACATCAAAGCTAAAATGTTTTAATCAATCCTATTAACAATTTCTATTCATTTTTTATGACTACATTGTCATAATCTTGATTAGTACCCAACAGTCACTATGAAACAAATACATGTTGAGGGAATTTAAATATTCAAAAGTATCTTGTCAACTATATAACAATATATAGACATATAGTTAGTAATTTAGTGCATATATAATACTATACATAAAATATAATACTAATATAGATACTAATATAATACTAAATATGGTGCCTATATTATATATAATATCACATATATATAACCTCTTGGTTATGTATATATACATATATATATGTATATATACATATATGTACGAAAGCAAGAACATGCACAGGCATGCATGTATGTGTGTGTGTGTGTGTGTGTGTGTAAAACTCAGTATTTTATGTATTCCCTTCAGAAAGAGATACACACAAAAGCTTTTTGAAAGAAAAACAAACCCCAAAAGTAGCAGGCTATCACTTGCTGAGAGGCCACATATTCCAGAGTTTTTCTTCTGGTGAGATTCAGAAAGTACTGAAAATGGAAAATTCCCAACATTCCTATTGAAACTCTGATGGCACTAATGTTTACACTTTGACATTTCCCTACTTTCTTTACAGGCAGAGTTCTTGCTTATTTTCTCATGAAACACTGTTTTGTGAAGGAGGGGCAGATGTTATGGGAATGGAACCCAGGACTTCACATATTCATGCATACACTTTACCACTGAGCTTTATCTCTAGCTGAAGTAAATACTTATGAACCTTTAAACAGATACAATTTTCAAATGACTGGATATGTGGCTATCCACCAGTCTTAAAAATAATAAGTTGCAGAACAAGAACATTTAAAGGAAAGAGAAACAGCACTTGAATGGTATTATATATATGTATATATGTATGTATGTATGTATGTATATATTTAAGAATAGATCATTTTATGACACTCATATGCCATTTAAAGATGAAAATATGCTTGGACAAACGTATCATCAAGTGACCTTGTCATTGTGTGAACATCAGAGTATACCCACAGAAATCTATATGGGAAAGCCTGCTATACAGGTAGGTTCATACTATCATGCATGCAGCCATTACTGATGAAATATCAAATAGTGCATGATTTCATCTCTTCTGAGCCTGAGATACATATTATTTACAATAATTTCCAACAAAGTGATTGTTTGTTTTGAACTTTGGCATTCCTGAAGATTTTATATTTGGTGATGCATGAATACATCCAGTTAATAAGTACTTACTGGAAAAAATAGAATAAATCAACTCCAGCAAAATTCTCAGAACAGGAAAAGAAAAATTTAATTACCAACTGCATAAACACTGAGAAAATACAAATCAGTGTGTGTGTCAAATACTGAATGATACCTCCCTCAAAATAACAGACAAACATCTCTTCTAACTCCCTGCTTCAAAGAAATTGGTATGTACTTAGTACCTAAGGGTACAGTTTAGTTTTCCTTTCTTGAAATGCTTTGACCACAAGTGCTTCCAATTTCAGAGGTTTTTTTATTTTGAAATATTTGTATATATTTTATAGATGTCATAAGGATAGCAACCAAGTCCAAAAAATATTCATTTATATTTCATATACACATACACCTTAAACACAAAGCCTGAGGACAGTTTTATACTTTTTTTTTTTTTTTTTTTTTTTTGGTTTTCCAAGACAGAGTTTCTTTGTGTAGCTTTGGAGCCTATCCTGGCACTTGCTTTGGAGACCAGGCTGGCCTTGAACTCACAGAGATCCGCCTGCTTCTGCCTCCCGAGTGCTGGGATTAAAGGCGTGTGCCACCAACGACTGGTCAGTTTTATACATTTTTAATACATGGTGTTTTTATTGTGCTCTCCCAGGAAGTGTAAGTGTGTAATTTTCTACCTGTTGCATTTGGAACATTTGGGAACTTCATGTTTTAGGGATAAAATACTCAACCGGTCCCACTGTCATGGTGGCAGAGAAACAGGGAGAATTACCCAGGGGCACCCTGGCAGCACTGGCATCAGGGTTGATCCAGAAGGACAGCCAGGAGAGTACCACAATCAGCAGGGTTGGTGCGTAAACGCCCATCATGTAGAACCCAACCTGTCTCCGCAGGGTGAAGATGACTTCCACACAAGTGTAGTAGCCTGTCAAAACCAGAGAAGCAATGGGTGTGAGGGACTTACCCGCACAGAATCATAAGTCAGAACAACCTGAAAGGCACAGTATACTTCTACTCCTGGCAATTTCACAAAGTAAATACTGCAAAGTGTTTTCCTTTAGTTGGAGACTTTTTATAAAGAGGGTGGGACATGCTTTCCCTGACCTTCACCACCTCACCATGATACTGAAGAGCAGAGCTCATGTGTTGCTCTGGCAGGTCTAGGCATTAAATCTATGTGAGAGTCTGCAACCCTTCAATCCCCAACCCCATCCCCCACAGTGGTGTTAGCATATAAGTTCAACCAGTGAGACATGAGCCCTGAATCAAAGCAACAGGTTAATTCTAAGAGGAAACACACTCTTGGACAGAGTTTTGAGTTTTGTCCTCCTAACTGTCAGCCATGTGAACCACATCTGCTGGAGAAGGGATGCTAGCCTCCAAGAGCTCAAAACCTTAGGCAAGCATTCATGTAAGCAGTAGGAAGAAAAAGGACAAAAGCTTCCAGTGACTCCAAGAGGCCTCTTCACCCCCTTCCCTCCTGCAGCCATGGCTCACAAACTTCTGCCTGGGGAAAGGACTTTCATTTCCTGTTGCTGGGACAAATGCAGAAACTGCTCTAGAATATCATTCTAGAACTTCCAAACACCAACTAGTCCCAAAATTTACTGATGAGTACTGGCAGCCTGGCATGATGATGGCTTTTGTTGTATTGAGGGGGGGAAAGAGAAAGACAGATAGATGAGAGAGAGAGAGAGAGAGAGAGAGAGAGAGAGAGAGAGAGAGAGAGAGAGAGAGACAAGAATATTCTGACAATAGTACCTTTGAAAAGAAGACATACTTGCAAGTAAGGGATTGTTTTTCAAATATTTTGGTCCTTTTGGTTAACAGTTTATATATAATGCTTGTTGCTTAATAGGTTTAATTGTTTTGAGCTAGTCACTCTATATAGCCCAGGCTAACCTCAAAATTGTGATCCTTCTGCTTGAGTGTTATGGAATTACAAGCAAACCCTCCAGACCCAATGAAAATAAATTATTTCGATAAAAACTTGCATTTAATAAACATAAGATTATGTATAAATACCAAAGGTTAAAGATCTCCAGTTGTCTTAGTTGACACTGTGCATAATTATTTTAAAATGTTGACACAAACAAAGAATCCATAATTGAAATAATAATTATAGAGAGAAGGAAAAGGCTATGTCACTGTCTTATGTTACAAAGTAATAATTGCCTAGTCACCCTAACTGGGAAAAACAAACATGTTTCACATAGAAACATAATCTTCCTATCCATACAGTAGAATCTCTTAAATTTTGACTTAAAAAGGATATTCACAATCATTTTAAGTTACATGAGAAAGCTCGTCTGCTTATATTATGAGTTATACCCAATACTGTCTCAGTGAGATTAGAAAGGTAATGTCAATATGGAACAAAAGCAATTAGTGGGGAGGCATGGGAGCAAATGCTAATATATCAGAAACAAGATGTGCAGCTTGCTAATTTTAGTTTCATTAATAAAAGCAATATAGTATATGTTATTCACAGATTTTATAAGATGGGGGAAAAATAAAAGGCACCCATTTGAATTTCCCTGATAACAAAAACATGCTTCTAGCCAGCAATCATTTTCAATATTTCAAAAGTATAACCTTTCATAAAAAAGTTCACGGTGCTTCCTAAAATATGATTCTCAAAGTACCTTGCTTTGAAACAGTGTCACTTATGCAGGTTAACTCATTCACCTACTGCATATGAAATGAAAGCAAATTATACATGTATGATATATATGTGTATTTATGTGTATATGTGTGTGCATCTGTGTGAATCTTCTCACTATATAGGTATACATACTATATATAGTATTGTATAGTTACTATAAAGTAGTGTAATCTAAAATAAAAATTTACGTTCCACCTGACTATGCTTAAAGACTGCCTGACTAAATGCCATATGTCATGTGTTTGAAGCATAGTTTCACCATGTCCTTTCATAAAAGCACTCACTAGGGGACTTCATGAGCTGTCCATGCATCCAGCAATAAAATGCATGTTGGATATTACAGTGATTTGCTTCATAAAATTTTATGAGAAACATTTCTTGATCTTTTTTGATCTTTCTCTAGTCCGTTATATTTATGAGAGGCAGGTGGGCAGTTAATTGATATAAATGTACATTGGGAAATTTTAATTTACTCTCTATTTCCTGTGTCATTTTCCTACATTATTCACTTAGACACTCAATTTAACTATTTTCATTTTGTGTTCTGCTATTCTTTACCTTCACTATTTATTAGTCATGGAACAATATAATTTCAGTAAAGTTAATGCTAGACAATAACAACAAAAAATTTAATTATTACCACCAAATTTCTTAGTCTCACATGTATTTATTTTAGGAATGTATAAATGCAACTTGTTATGTTCACTCTCATTTTAATGTATTTTGCCTTGATGATATCATAATAGTTGACTTTTACATAATATGAATGCCTCCAAAAACATAAACTTAGCTCCTATCTGCTTCTGAATACTTTTGTCATGACCTGCTTTTCAAAAAAAGAATTGTAGGCAGCTTACAAGTTGAGCTGATCATTGGTAATAATGTCACAGTTAAGTTTCTCTATTGTTTAATTTTGTATTGTTAGGTGAAATGTATTACTACCAAACCTCCCCAGTGACCTACAACTGACAATGCAGACCCCCAGGTTGGCTACTACATATTATGAGAGTAGAATGGACTTTTATACTTTGTCCATAGAGGTGGCTCTGGTCCATACTGACTTAAGGTCAGAGAGTTCAAAACTATCCTTGCTCTTTCATGGTCAAAGACCTAAGACCTGAAGGTCTAAGGTGTGGTTACTAGATGTCTTAATCCTCAAGGTCAGATAACAAGATGTGTGATCTAAAGTGTAGTTACTGAACGTTTGGAGAATTAAGGAAGTAATTAAGTCTGTTCCCTGTATCATGATAAAGAAGTTTTTGTCTTTTCCACCCGTTTTGGTTGGGATATGTAAGAATTTTGAGCAATGAACTTAAGGTGAATCCCAGAATTCCCTGGGATGCCCTTCTGACACTATCTTCTGTCTCTAGCCTGTTTCTTTCCTCAATCCATACTCCCCTTCTCTGGTACAGACTGGACAAGTTGGCAGGATCCAACAGATGGCCCTCAGTGTGGGGCACTGATAGGACTTTCTTCAAATGTTCAATGTAATTTAATGGCTGTGGTTAATCTGTTTTGCTTTTCAAAATTGGTTACTGAATGACCTAGACAAATAACACTATACAGGGAATATTCACAGAAGTTCAATTATCTCACATTCCTATTATTTCTAATACATACAAAGTTCAATGATTTTCGAGTTAACAAGATAGATAAACTACCATATAAATAAAACTGCTCACAAAAAAAGATGAACACAGATAGATTATATTGAGCTATATTAAATGCTGAGTGCCAAAGACAATCTTGTCAAAGCATGGCAACATCTAAGAAAGCCATTACCTGCAGGAGTTTATTTCATTACTATATTCATTACAATATTTTATTAATATAATGAAGTATTGACAACTTCTTACCAACAGAATTACATGGAAAAAAATCAATCTATTTCATAATTAAAAGGCCAAACATCTGAAATGAATGTGGCTGTGGAAAAGGATTTAAGGTTTTAACACATGGTTAAAAGGATACATTTCTCACAATTAGCTTATTTTAAAGTATCTCTCCTCTATTTGTTCCTTAGTCTATATTAAAACTAAAACAAAATGTTGATTAGTTTTACTTTCTAAAATAACACTTACCAGTGCCTTTATAGTATTTTGTACAGTTGCCATACTCAATATCTTCTTTTTTAATATCAAATTGAGGTAAAGCAATTTTTTCCAACTGAACAGGATCTCCTGACTGCCAGATGAATCTCAAGTCATCAGTTGTATAACCAACTGTAATAAATACATGAACACGTTAGACTGAAATATACTTACCAATGCTTTCTTGTTATTTTAATAATCCATATTTAGCATAGAAAAGATAAGAAAAAATGACATAATGTTATGGAATTATAATTTAAAATTCACAGCTATTGAATCTATGGCCAAGCACAAAATATCAGCACAATAATAACATGTCATCATTATAAAGAAGTAATAGGGTTAAATAATCATCAAATCAGATATAACCCTAGGTCATCATATATAGAAAATCTCCTCTCTGTGTCAACATTCATAACTGCTATCAACTAAAAGATGACAAAATAAGATGTAAGTTCTCTGCATGTGTTCATTTACAAGCATGCACTATGTACATAAAGGTTTCTTTCTTTTTTACTTTAAACTTTGTTATTAACTTTTATTGATTCCTTGTGGATTTCACATCAGGAATTCCAATCCCACTTTTCTCCCCAGTCTCCTCATATCTACCCTCTACCCTGTAACCCTCCCCACTAAAACAAAATAAAATTTAAAAGAAAAGCCCGAAACAAACAAAAAAGCTAAAGTAAAACAGGTATTATTTTAAATAAATCACTACAATGTTCCTTGAAAGAATTGCACCATGATTAAAAAAAGAAAAAAAAAAGCATTAAGACTGTACTCCGAGTGAACATCATTATAGCTTCATTAAAGTAACCAGGAGTTCATGGACTGGATTTAGTATGTGGTTACAACTCAAGACTACATCCTAGAATAATCTATCACTGGATTTCAAAGACCATCAGTTTCTAAAATCCTACACAGTGTATCAAATGAGTGTATTGAGTAAACACAAACTTACTTAAATTTGTACTGAAACATTGTAGACTTACAAAAATAATATTATTGTTAGGAAGAAAGAAATATCATGAAAAGCTAGGATTTATTTTAGCACATTAAAAAATGACAGGTAACCACTAAATAACATGTCATCTAACATACGTGGTATATTTTACAAAGTTGCTATTATTCATAGAAATAGCTTAATCTTTAAGCATCTCTACTAAATATTCCTTGTGACATCAGTATTCATTTTCAAGTATTTTCTAAATAAAATCATCATAGAAAATTGAATATCTTCTATAGAAAATTAGTTTATAACATTTAATATATCTTTTATAAACTGAAAAATACAATCATAGGAACATAAAACATGCAATTTTTAAAAAATAATTTAACTGTACTTCCATAAGAAATGCAGTTAGTTGGGCTTACATGTAATTCAATATTCTCAAATATTTTTACTATGATAATACTAACATCAGAGAAATTATTTTGTCAGAAGACCATAATTTTCTTCATTACTGATCCAGATAAACATAATCTTCAGAATCAGAAACACACCAATATCAACTCTCTAAAAGCCAGCTACAACAGAAAGAATTTTCTTCTCCAAGGTTTTCTTAATTAGAATGGTATTAGTATGACCAAAAGCATTATGGTTTTCACAGTTATATAATTCAATAATAGAATATATTGTGTAGATATAAGCATTCTATTTCCCAAATCATTTATGGGCCTCATTTACATACAGCTCTCAAGTTGCATCTTGCAGCGTTGTGTATCCATGGGAAACAGAGTTAAGTCCAAAGGGCATGAAAGAGTAATAGACAACCTGAAGTCAGAAGCAGAGAGATTGGAATCATTGAATGTACATTTCTGTGGCACCCTGATTTGAAAAGGAAAATATAAATACACAGGAATTAAATATAAAAGGGTACCTCATGCTCACAAGGACATCTCCATCACGAAAAATAAACAATAGGATGTTTTCTTGGGTTACATCATGAAAATTGGCACTTTTTTCATTTGCAAAGAATAAGTCAGGCTTCCACAAACACTTGTACATTGTTGGATCTACTGTCAGTGCATCTGAACCTCTGAAGTCACTAGGGAGCTTGAGCCTGGGGTCGTTCCATTTCTGTCTCAAGAAAATGTTAACTCTATAGTCCTGGGGGAAGAAAGGCACATTGCATCCTAATATATTTATTTGCTTAAAAATATAACAAATGCATGCATGACATGTGTGTGTTTATAGCTCTTTGTAACAACAAGAGTGTTTTTACTTTTAGTAAAACAAATACTTTCCACTTGACAGGGTGATAGCACTATCTAAACATAAGAACTTCTAAAGATTCCAATAATTCTCCCTGCTCCTAAAGTAGGATAAAATTAAGAAATGATAAGAAACAGGATGAAAATCATTTCTATCTGTCTTTTGTTAAATAGAGAAGCAAACAATAAAATGGTGAATGTGAGTGTGTACATATACACGATAACTCTACGTACACCATTGTGCCTTGATACTTACTAGTAATTGGTTCCAAGACATATGGGTGTCAAAATCTATATAAAATTGCTTAGGATTTGCATATAGTCTATGCAATCCTACATACATTTAAACCATTAGTTGTAGCAGTTAACACTACCTATAACACTATGTATATGCGACATGAAGAGTTGTTATAAAATATGGTTTATGGAATCATAGAAAGACACAAAAGGCTGTACATGTCTAGATTTGAAACTGTCTGGTATAATATACATTTTTGGTCAAAAATCCATTTGCACAGTAATGAACACATACACAGAACTCAGATTCAAATGACTGATATATATTCTTGTAATGTTTAAAGGAAATCTATTCATAACTGTTCACACACATGAATATTCCTAGAGACTAGGGAATATTGTGAAATGAGATTTGGATTATGTGAAGCAGATAAAAATGGATACAAAGTTCATAATGTCATATTATACTTCATTTATGCAAATAGTGAAATATTTTATTCAGTTATTAGTTCATGTTCAGAAACTTCAATTCCACAAAATTGTAAGAACCAAATTTTGTTTACATTTAATAATAAAAATATATGAACAAAGGAACCATGTTTGATTGCCTAAAGTATTTTATATTTGCCAATGAGTATGGACATCTGGCCAGACATGGTAGTATATACCTGAAATCCCAGAACTTGGGAGACAGAGGCAAGTTCAGGTTTACATAATGAGTTCCAGGCTCACCAGTGCTATACAGTGAGACTCTATTTCAAAGATGAGAGAGAGAAAGAGAGGAAAAGAGGTGGGGGAGATAAAGTTCTGGGAAAAACTGGATCGTCAGTGCACTCTAAATATTACCATTAGTGATTTTCACTTCATCCACTATACTCAGAATGTCAAGTGTTCAAGGCATAAATTATATTGGGTTTCAGAACCTTCTTTATAGTCAATAGTCTAAAATTCATATTTTATCCCTCCAAAGCCTTTTGGATAATGAATTGAATAGTAAACTTAAATTCTAAATCCAACTAAGGAAATAGAAAGAAGTGGTAGATTACTTTTATTAAAAACTAAAATCAATACCTGTCTACAAGGTATAAATATATACATATATATGTAAGCATAGACTCCAGAAAATAAAAAGAACAGGAAATTTCCTCTTCTATTCAGTTTGTTTTTGTGCTCGGGTTCTGTTCAGTATTTGAAGAAGTGTAAGATATTGACTAACTGCACTTACCTAGCTGCAGCTCGGAAAGTACTATGATGCCAACTCATCTCTATCAGCAACCTGCACTGGATGTTTGCAAAAACCACAACACATTGACACAATAGGCATGCCAACTTCACATAAATGACCACTTTGTGTTCTACAAAATACTAAAATACCACACTGTTCATGTCTGTATGAATTAGCATGTCAATTAAAACTAAAAAAAATAGATTTTAAAACTCAACATATTAATTATGTCTTGAAAATCATATGCTGGTTGTTTAGAAGTGCCATGTCAAGCCAGCTAAGGATTCTATGACTTTGTCTGCACATGTCTGAATGCTTGACCTTACAGCAGCAGCACTGAAAAGAGAAGACTCTCTTAACCAAATGAACTTGGAGCCAGGTAGAATAAAGGAGTCTTTTGTATTCAGAATACAAAGACTGGAACTACAATGTGCAACATTACTACATTAGCACACAGGCTCACATGCACATGTGAGCACATACGCACACTCACTTGCACTCTCTCTCGCGCTCTCTGTATCTCTCTGTCTCTCTCTCTTCCTCTCTCTCTCTCTCTCTCTCTCTCTCTCTCACACACACACACACACACACACACACACACACACACAATGCAATTGGACAATGTATCATTCTAATGGAGATAAATGATTATTTACTAAAACAACTATAACAACTCCAAGCTACCAGGAGACAAAATGATGCTCCTGACAAACATTTGTGTCTGCTGCACACAGCTATTCATGATTTCCTCTTCAGTACTAATATACATCATGCTAAGTCAATTTCTCATAAAACTTTGACCATTATATATTTAAAGATGATTTAAATATATGGTCTCTAAGTGTTGTGCCTTGCCAAGGGACACCATCATCAATATATATTTAAACTCATAAATTTAAATATGTACTTGCTGTATTATTAGAGACAATGCATTCTTAACCAGGATCCATATAAAAAATCCAACACTCCCGTGTTAAGTAAATGACTCTTTGAGAAACTACCCCAGATTGAGTCTTCTCTTCATTATTTAGTGACTGATTTGTTTATTGGTATACTACTGTCACAACATTTTATAGTTATTTCACATTCAGAAAACATATTTAGTGAGGGCACATTACACAAAACGACACCTAACTGTCCGAGATTTTAAAGGCTTCCTTCCTTTTATTGGAAAGTAATGCTTAAATGTCTCATTTTGTTTTGCCTTTGTCTGCAGGCGTGGGAACTGAGAATTAACCTTGTAGCCACCAGCACTCCCATCTCGTCTCTCATACCTCTCATACCTCAGTACAATTACCATGGTGTGACACATGCACACTCAGTCTGAATTCAATTATTTTCCTCTATTTTTATTACTATTTTACACCTCAAATCATTGCCAGAAGAAAGGATGAATAAAAAAAAACAGAGAAAATAACATTTATAGAGTACCATGTGATTAAAGAGAGAATCCATCATCTTTTGTGTATAGCTTCATGAACTTCCAGATTTATAGAGTAAGGAAGCTGTATTTTACTTTAATATTAGATTTTCCTTTTTTAGGAGGCCAGTACATACACATAAAGAGATGGCAAGTCTAAAAACTCATTAGCAGTCTTTTCACCAAAACAATTACCTTGTGGAATATGTCTGCCAATTTGCTTACTGCTAATTAATTTTATGGATACTCTATCAATATTTCATAATAACATTCAAGATAATATCTGGGAGAGATTAAAGCAACGCTAACCTTTAATTAACTTCAGCATACTTTGCATAATTACAGAATAAGCTGCCTCTAATATTTTGGGTTGAAGTTCAGGAATTTGTTACTCATTATACTGAAATTTCCACACACCCCAACTGGTACTTCTGGAAGCATAGTTTTATGTTGGACCACTTTCCAGAATGGTGGGGCTAACTTATACAAAATTTACCTTTTAAGGAATAATCGCAACAGTTTTAAAAGTGTTTTTTCTTTTAATTCTTTTCAAAAGTCTAATTGAGGATTCTACACAATTCAAGGTACATTCCGATGCTTCTCAGTACACTAAGTTCAAAGCGTGTTTATCAGCAGACACTGTCAGAGTACAGAGAAAATCCCCACAAAACATTGGAACCTAGAAAAAAAAAAAAACAACCCTTTTGTAGGGAAAAATGAGGTATCATGTAATGCTTGCTATCCACAAATGACTTTTCAAAAATCACACTAATCTGGAAGCAGAAGGTGGCAAGTGACACCCAGACACTAACGGATAGAATCTCTGTGGAATAAGCTGGAGACAGTTGGACAGCAACCAGAATGTGAGGTGAATGATGCAGACAAACATTCTTTCCATGGTTCTGTAGTTTTCTGTGGGTTTCACCAGCCTGGTCTTGACCCCTTTGCTCATCACTCCTCCCTCTCTGCAACTGGATTCCAGGAGTTCAGTTCAGCAGAAAGGGGATGGGATGGGAGTTGTTGGGGGCAGGGGAGGAAAGGAGGGAGAGGGAACTGGGATTGACATGTAAAACAAGCTTGTTTCTAATTTAAATAAAATTAATTAATTAATTAATTTTAAAAAAGAAAGGAAACTTTGAACAGGAGGAAAGCAAGAGCCTTAAAGCTCTGTAGCCTGCAACAGGGAGGTAGACAGAGTTCAAATGCAGAGGGTTGTAAGCACAACTTAAAACAGAGAAGCATCCCAGAAAATTCAATCCTGATTCTCAGAACCAGACAATTCATAGAGGAAAGTGTTGGAGGCTAGTGCAAGGACAAACCTCATGGAGAGCAGGAAAGACCCATGGAAATTGAAATAAAGACTCAGAAGCGTGACCAACACCTTCACTGAGAAGGCCTGTTCTCAGACACGGATCTTCAGGTCTACATACAACCTAAGTGGCAGAAAAATCTCTCTTCTCTAAACTTGATCAGAAGAAAGGCAAGAAGTTTTATAAAGATCTCGCTGAGTCCAGAGCTTGTGTAGAAGAAAAGGTTCCTCCCTTCTCTGCGTGCCCTGTGGGACTACTCTCAGGGTGACCTGCAGAATACTTTTATCTTAAATAGAAATAAAACTGAGTCAGAACTGTGAAGAACTCCACACAGTGGAAATCTCATCTGAACCATATACTGGAGTGTGACTCACCAGCTTTCTATAATAAAAATGAACAATGGAAAATGCTTAAATGTAAAAACATCAAAGACATACAAATGAAAAGCTTGGCGTAGCCCTTTCTAGTATCTAGATATTGAAAGATGACCATAGTTATACCACCCACTGGCCACCCCAAGACCTGAACTGTCCAGGTGCAACACAAATAACACGAAGACAAATATAGGAAGGGTAACACGAAAAAGCTACTGCTCTTATGTGTTCAAAGTGCACAGATAACTAAAACAAAGACGACATAGAAATAGGATCTGCACTTCTGCCCTGGGTAGCGACCAAGCAGAGGAGAGTCTGCAATTGCTAGCC